TGGGAGTAAACGCCAGATATGATGTTAACACCTACATCAATCAATATTGTATTTTTTCAAGAGATTCACAAGATGCCAGAGTTGCTCACGCCCAGGAGAAGATACAAAGTAAATATGGTCTTTTCTTTTCCTTTTTTTTTAAGATTATTTATTTATTTATTTGACGAGAGAGAGAGAGAGAGAGAGAGAGAGAGAGAGATCACAAGTAGGCAGAGCAGCAGGCAGAGAGAGAGAGGGAAGCAGGCTCCCTGCCAAGCAGAGAGCCTGATGCAGGGCTCGATCCCAGAACCCTCAGATCATGACCTGAGCCGAAGGCAGAGGATCAACCCACTGAGCCACCCAGGCACCCCAACATGGTATTTTCTTGGGAGTAAGGACAGGGTCTCTGTTGGGGGAGTTGGTCCATTTTTATAAATCATGGAAGGTATCTGAGATTGAGAAGGATGAAAATGCCAAAAGTAGGTTTTAATTTTTCATGGCATTTGATTTTTTTACTCCAACTAAAAAATGAAATAGAATGAAAATATTACATGGGAATTTATAATCCAGTCACAGTAAAATATCATTTTACTGAATATTTATTCAATAACAGTTAAGAAATTACAACAATTTTAAGCATTATTTTATGAAAAGATACTTTGATTTTTAACATTTATGGGATGCTTTTGGGTAGTAGGCATTGGAAAAGAGCTTCCAATCAAAATTTCCTCTGTCATTGTTTCTCACTCTTAGATTAGAATTACATTCTAAAGAGAGATTGTCAGACTCTTAAAAATCTGTTTACTTGCAGATTACATTTAGAAATAATCTCTTTGGGATGAATATAAATGCAGAGTTTTAATCCTAGCAATATAGAGAGAATGTTTGTTGTCATGACATTTAAATAACAATTTGTAATGTACCTACTAAGCTTTTTATTGTTGTAAAATACACATAAAATTTGTCATGAGTGATTTAGTACCTTCACCCTGTTGTGTAACCACCACTAATTAGTTCCAGAACATTTTTATCACCCTGAAAGGAAACTCCTTACTCATTAAGCAGTCATTCCCCACTCCCTCTTCCTTTCAGACTCTGGTACCCTCCACAATTTTGCCTATCTTGTATATTTCATATAAATGGAATCATACAATATGTGGTCTTTGTGTCTGGCTTATCTTACTTAACATAATGTTTTCAAGGTTCATCCATGTTGCAGTATGTATCTGTACTTCATTTCTTTTTAATACTGAAAAGTATTCTATTATGTACCAAAATTTGTTTATTGGTTCATCGGCTGATGGACATTTGAGTTGTTTTTACCTTTTGGCTACTATGAATGTTGCTATGAATATTTATGTGCAAATTTTTGTTTAAACACCTGTTCTCAGGGTTTCTTATTTTGGTTGGGGGGTGGATATATACCCAGGGGCAGAATTGCTTGGTCACATGGTAATTCTGTTTAATTCATTGAGGAACCACCAAACTCTTTTCCACTATATCTATACCATTTAACCATCCCACCAGCAATGTATGAAGGTTCCAATTTCCCCACATCTTCTCCAATACTTATTTTCTGTTTTTAAAATTATAGACAACCTAGTGGATTTGAAATGGTATCTAATTATGGTTTTCATTATCCTTCCCTAAAGACTAATGATGTTGAGCATCTCTTCATGTGATTCAGACCTACATTGGAGAAATGTCTATTCAAGTCCTTTGCCCATTTTAAAATAGGTTGTCTATCTTTTTGTTGTTGACTGTAGGAGTTCCTTATATATCTTGGATAGAACCTTATATGATTTGCTAACATTTTCTCACATTCTGTGGGCTGTCTTTTCACTTTCTTGATAGTGTCCTGTGATGCACAGAAACTTTTAATTTTGATGAAATCCAATTTATCTTTTGTTGCCTTGTGCTTTTGATGTCATATATATGAAACCATAGCCAAATCCAAGGTCATGAAGATTTATGCCTATGTTTTCTTCTTAGAGTTTTATGGTTTTAGCCTTATATTTAAGGTCTTCAACTTATGTTAATACTTATTGTATCCTATTTCATTCTTTTCCACATGAATATTGTTTCAGCACCATTTGGTGAAGAGACTATTCTTTCTCTATTGAACGGTCTTGGCACATTTGTTGAAAATCAGTTGACCATAGTTTATTTCTGGACTTTCTACTTCATGCTAGATTTTGAAATCAGGAAATGTGAGTCCTTTAGCTTTGTTCTTTTTTTTTTTTTTAAAGATTTTATTTATTTATCTGACAGACAGAGATCACAAGTAGACAGAGAGGCAGGCAGAGAGAGAGAGAGGGAAGCAGGCTCCCCGCCGAGCAGAGAGCCCGATGCGGGACTCGATCCCAGGACCCTGAGATCATGACCTGAGCCGAAGGCAGCGGCCCAACCCACTGAGCCACCCAGGCGCCCATAGCTTTGTTCTTTTTAAAGATTGTTTTGACTTATAATCCCATATGAATTTTAGGATCAGCTTTTCTATTTCTGCAATAAAGGGCCATTGGGGGTTTGATAGGGATTACATTGAATCTGCAGACTAATTTGGAGACTATTGCCATCTTAACAGTAAGTCTTTTAATCCATGAATGTGGGATGTCTTTCCATTTATTTAGAGTGTTATTTCATCAGTGTTTAGTATTTTTCAGTGTGCAAGCCATGCACTTCCTTGGTTAAGTTTATTGCCAAGTATTTAATTCTCTGTGATACTACTATAAATAGAATTGTTTTTAAAATTTCCTTCTTGGATTTTTTTTTTTTTCCAATTTGTGTATTGATCTTGTATCCTGCAACACTTCTGAATTTATTTGCTCTCAAGTTTTGGGGTGTATATGTGTGTGTGTGTGTGTATTAGAATTTTTAAGATACAGGACCACATCAGCTGCAAATATTGTCGTCTTACTTCTTCCTTTGTAATTGGGATTCCTTTTTTATCTTTCTCATGCCTAATTGTTCTTGCTAGAACTTCTGGTGCTATGTTAAGAAGAACTGGTGTTAATGTCTCTTTAAATGATTGGTAGAATTCACTGGTAAACCCATTTGCTGCTATACTTTCTTTGTTGGGAGTTCTTCATCACTGATTCAATCTCTTTACTTGATATAGGTCTGTTCAGATTTTTTATGTCTTCTTGAGTTCATTTTGGTAATTTGTGTGTTTCTAGGAATTTGTCCATTTCATCTATATCATCTAATTTTTTTTGGCAATAAAGCCTTTTGACCAATAAATCTGTTTATGGTTCAGTCATCCAAAATACCATGTAATTTATCTATTATTTATAAAATGTGGAGTATATATCATGTTTTCTTACATGTACTTTTCTAAATAAAGCAAATTTATATGTAAAATTCCATAAGAGATTTAAACAAAATTTCCCTAGTGAGGGGTATGACTGGTATAAATTGTGATTCTAAAAATCATAAACCTTCTTCGTTTTCTTTTTATTAAAATAAATGATTCCTCATTTATTAAAATGAAACCTCTCTTTTTCTACCTAGAGAAAGAAATAAGAGTATGGACTCTCAAGTGCAAAGTATGCATTCAAATTTCTTGTCCTACCACTTACTTGCTATAGATGATCTTGGGTTTAACTTCTCTGTGCCCCCGTCTCCTCACTGGAAAAATGAGAATAACGGAACCTACCTCATGAGGTTATTGTGAGGATTAAATGCATTAATGCATGCAGAAAAACTGATTCTTAATTCATAATAAGCATTCAATAATTATTAACAAATATTTTTGCAAGGCATCACTAATTGAGGTTAAAATAAAGAGCACATAGACATCATCATCAATGAACCAGCAAATAAAAGTCAAGGCAGCTACTGCTGGATGATGGATACGGAGAGTCATATTTTCCTCCAGAGTCAGAAGACCCCAGAGGAGCAGAGGAAAGAGTATTTTGGTGAGCATTCTGTCACTAGAAAGAATTGGTTCTCTTTATTCCTATTCAGGAAAGCTGATCCTCTGGACCACAGCTGACCTTTGAACAACACGGGTTTGAACAGTATAAGTCCACTTATATGAGGATTTTTTTCGCTATAGTACAATACTGTACATATATTTTCTTTTTCTTGTGATTTTTTAAAATAACATTTTCTTTTCTGTAGCTTACTTTATTGTAGGAATACAGTACCTAATACATACAATATACAAAATATGCGTTAATCAACTGTTTACATTACTGGTAAGGCTTCTGGTCAACAGGAGGCTATCAGTGGTTGAGTTCTGAAGGGGTTAAAAGTTATATGCAGATTTTTGCTGTGCAGAGAGTTGGTATCCCGAAACCCTGTGTTGTTCAAAGACCAACTGTACTAAACTGCATAAAAAACGGCCTCTCTCAGGGTAGAAAATCAAAGGCACGGTTTATGAATCCCATAAAGAAAAGGAAGGTCCTCAGAGAGGAGAATCAGGTCTTTTACTCTGACATGAGTCTGGCCTCCACTGTGGGTCATAAGAAGTCAGAGAGTGGGTGGGTGAGCGTTCAAAGGAATAATCACAAGTATAAATCCTTGTGCTTCTACAAGCATAGATTCCTTTCAAATCGCAGGCCTAAGCCTCCCCGAGAAGGTGATGATGTGCTAACACGTTTCTGCTTTTGATTTTTGTTTTGTTTTGCTTCTTAAAACTTTCCTCTTCTTTTCTTCTCTCTTCCCCTAAATACATAAATATACTCTAAGGCTGATCCCTCTTTGTCATGAAAAGAATTGAATTTATATCCATAATATAATGAATATAGAAAACTTTAATGTATTTTTCATGATTACCAGTATTTTGTTTGTGGCCACACCAATAAGATGACCACAAGATTTTTTTTGGGGAATGGAAGCATTCAGTTTCTTGGTTTCCAAAGAAACATTTCAAGAGCATTCAAAATTGGCTCCCTCCCTCCCCACCCTGCACTCCCCCCCCAGTAAAAAAAAAAAAGAGCTTGGTTTAATTTTTTAAAGAAAGCAATTAGAATGAAGTCTACCTTGATATAAAATGTAAAAGCACATTAACCACGGCATTGTATTTTAAAAGATGGGAATTTAGTTTATACTCATTTTTATATTAAGACATAAGTTAATGACTTTTATATCTTAAAGGATTTATCATAAAATGTTGCTGCCCAGTGCATTTTTGCAGACAATAAACAATTCTCTGAGAGTATTAACATTCACATGTGTAATTGGAGTTTACAAATGTACAAAACTTCGGGTAATAAACACTTTAAACTTATTTTTCAGACATTCAATAAGCCCATTCCCCTCAAACTGTTTGATTACGAAGAAACACGAAAGGTTACTAACTGCAGCAAAATGTGAGAAACAAAGCAAAGGAGGCAAATCCAGACTTGAGGACATAAGATATCCGAACAGTTTTGTCAATATCAAAAGACAAAAATCAAAACATCTTTCATAATAAAAAGAAAACAAATCCATATAATTATTACTTAGGCGAAAGAACATGTTAGGGTATATGACATTTCTTTCCTCAACATAAATGTGCCTCTCTTCAATTTACTGCAAAACACCATCTTTCAGTTCCAATTTGAGGATATCATAGCCTGTATTGTTAGTGAATCTAACAATACCAGGAATACCATTTTAAAAGAAGCCAAAGATCATTTCGTTTGCATTTGGTCATTGTTTTGACTCTCGTTTTTCTTTATTCATGAGACTAAGCCAATTGAGAAGTAAAAGTCCACAAGTCAAAGCCTATATAATGCAGCTGTTTCTGAAAAAAAACTGAAGATTAGCATAGTGTTTAGTATGTCATGAAAGCAGCAGTTGTGGTTAAACAGATAAAAATTACTGCAACCAACGTATGATAAAGTTATAAAGCAAACGTTCAAAGTGTTCTCTGGTGTATGTGCACTGTAGTAAAAGAAGTCTGGGTAATGTTAGTAAAATGTGATTGATTATTAATAAATGACATCCCCAGCCAGCATAGGCTTCTGTTTTTAGAGCGGTGAATTTGTCCTCACACGTGGTGTCAGTCCCCCAGCTGTAGTTTTGATTTACTGAGAAATGACTTAACGGAGAAATGCAGGATTTAATCCCGGGTCTTCCCCTCGTTGCTACCTTGTTTGACTGTCTTCACTTTGAGATTGGGCACTCTGTGCCCAGGAATGCGGCATTGCAAATTGGCTAAAAATGTATCCCTTGGTAGGAGAATAATTTTAGTAAATTCATGAGGAAGACGGTATCTTCATTTTGAAAACAAAGCACTGTATTATAGTTTGACAGTTACGACGCAAGCCCCAGCTCTTCCTAGGCATAGTGGAGCAACCTAAAAACAAAAACAAAAACAATAACAAACACAAACACGAAAACAAAAAGACGTATTTGTTGGGTGTGTAGGTACAACTGTTGATAAAACCACGTAGTTGGTAAAATATTGAAACAGTCTGTACTCATCAAAGAGTGGCTCCCAAACTCTGCCGCCCCAGCCTTACTGTAGGGCCGGCCCATCCTCCAAGCCCCCTGCAGAAGTCCAAGCGTCACAGACTCAACTGTTTAGGGCACAGTACTAAGCAGTACTTCTTTTTAAAGGTATCTCCAAAAAAAGAAAAGATCATTTGGGACTTACTCTATCTGAAACAATTTATTTGGCCAACAGGATGTGGGATATGGATAATGAGGAAACGCCCAACACTCCAGGACCCAAGTGGCAAAAATACCGTGTATTATCCAGAGAAGGCGTGTAACAGCTACGCTGTTTCAGAGCACACCAGAGTCGCTGCGTGCCTGGCTGCTTTTTCCCAGGGCACCAGTCATTGCGCATTTACTGACTAACTTCTCTGTGCATGGCTGGACAATCTAAACCCACTCTCCTACTTCCTAGCACAGTAAATAAATAATAAATACACCTCCTCCAACTCCACCCTAGGAGTAGAAACAAACCTGGTGAATAAACTCTATGACAATGAGGTATAAGGACGGGTGCTAGGGAAAGAAACAGAATCTTAGTTTAGGGATAAGGAGTAATTCCTAAATCTTTCACTTACTCTTCCTCCCTCCTTCCCTCCCTCCCCTTCTTTCTTCCTTCCCTTTCCTTCCTCCTTCCCTCCCTCCCCTTCTTTCTTCCTTCCCCTTCCTCCCTCCCTCCCTTTCTTCCTTTCCTTCCCCCCTCCCTTCCTTTCCTTCTCCTTCCTCCCTTTCTTCCTTCTTTCCTTTCCTTCTCCTTCCTCTCTCCCTCTTTCTTCCTTCCTCCCTTCCTCCCCTCCCTTTCTTCCTTCCCTCCCTCCCTTTCTTCCTTCCCTTCTCCTTCCTTCCTCCCCCTCCCCTCTTTCCTTCCTCCCTCCTTCCCCCCTCTCTCTCCCTTTCTTTTTGAGCACTCTAGACACCAAGCAATTCAGAGTGCAAAACTACAAGTGTGGACAAGGATAGCTTTTAAAGGATTAATTTGAGCAGAGTAAGCCCTAAGACTTAAAATGACAGTATTTAGAGAAGGGGTGACTAATACAAAGTACTGAGAAAATTTGTACGTATGTATGCGGGGGTATGTAATACAGTGTTATTGTCAAATACATGACATCAAAATGACTCCTTCGTCAGGTTGGCCTCTCTCCCAACCTTTCCAGACCAGTGACTGGATCTTAAAAACATATCAGACTTCAACTGAGACTTCTCAGTTGTTTTCTATCTGAATCAGGTGTTTTGATCCCTATTCTATCTCCTTGAACAATCAAATCACCCACTTTAAAACCATCTCTACTTAGAGTGTTCTAGGAGTAAACTCTAAGTCATTTCAATCAAAATGACTGTTTGTAATGAGCAGCCTTTCTCCAAACACCGAAGACCTGAAGTCTTTACACTGTAAAGAGTTGATGTTCCCTAACAACCAGCTAGAAAGTTCAGCTTAGAGTATTTACTAAATACAATGGGCTCACTCCTGCTTTGGATCCAGGTGGACAGCAGGGTGGGTGATGGCTTCAGATTTTATAACCTCATTTCATTCCCTGGACAAATGTCCTCTTGCCCATTTGTTGGAACACTGAATGGAAAACATTTATTTTTCATATTCTACAGTTGTAAGTTCAAATTCAGGTGCTTAAAAATAGTAATGGAAGGGACATGCAAACAAAATAGCTATGTGGTCACAGGTAATTAATTTTGATAGTAATTCAGCATAAAGCATTAATTACCTGTAATAACAAGTTTCGAATACTGGCCAAAAGATTTCTTGTAACTAGGCCTAAGCTTATAAATAAAATACACCTTAGAAAAAGAGATTCTTACATCTCTTTCTGTGCTCCTTGGTTATCATTCATGTTGCTACAGTGAGAGGCTAATGGTAGATAATCACATAATTTCTTTTTTTTAATTATTTTATTTTAGAGAAGGGGATGCAGAGGGAGATGAAGAGAGAGAAAAAATCTCAAGCAGACTTCCGGCCGATCATGGACTCTGACGTGGGGCTCATTCTCATGACCCAGAGATCATGACCTGAGCTCAAATCAAGAGTTGGATGCTTAATCCATTGAGCTACCTAGGCGCCCAAATCACATAATTTCTAGTGGAATTCTGCAGTACTGATTCAAGCTCTCAAATTATCTATACTTCCCTTCACCCAGTGACCACACTTAAATTTAAGAAACAAGATCAAGGTCACATACTAAGTCCCTTTTTTATAGTCTATCCTCTTCACTTAAAAATTCCCTGCCACTTTCTACAATTCTCATCTTCTTTCCCAGCCTTGGAAGAGATCTTTCCTCCAGTCTGCAGAGGACCAGTCTTTGCTTTCAATTCTGTATCTTGCCCTTCTTTCTTGCCCTTCAATGTTGCTCTTTCTAGCATCTGGAATCTCTACTCTCTTATTTTTACCTTTATTGTGAAAAAGACCTATGGCTCAAATTCTAACTGCCATTGATTTACTGTGTGGCTTGGGTCAACTATTTAACCCTCTCTGTCTCAGATTCCTCATCCAATAGAGCCTGGTACATAAAATGTGTTCAATAAATGTTAACTTTCTATTATCATCATTTGAAAACTGTATGCTCCTCTAGCTCCTGCATTTACTTATTTTTCTCTTTACTTTTTACACTGTGAGTATCTTTTGCTTCTATCACATTCTCAAAGGTTCTTACAACATCACGAATGATAAATTATCTTCATTCATCCTTATCCTGTTGACAGCCTGTCTCCTCTCTCTAATGCTCTACCTCATTATCTTATCTAAGACACCCTCTGGTCATTCATTTGCTATTTTATTCAGAAGTTGAATCTTTAATTCAACCCTGCAAGTGTAGAAAGAAAGAACAGCTAGGACTTGGTAATATCTCTTTGAATCCATTTCTAGAGTTGACACCTCAAGCCTTAAAGTGAAGCAACCTTCTATATGTTTTATTTTTATTCAGCCTTTGCTTCCCTTGCCCCTAACCCAACTTATCCTGTCCCCAACCACCACATGAAATTTCTGTTACTGTATCACTCTCCTGGTTAAGTCTCCACCAGCTTCCCACTACCAAACTCTTGAAGCACGGCCTCTGCCAACTTCTATCCTGACCCCAACCTTGCCCTCCAATAAGAATGTCCACAACAGCCAAACTACGGAAAGAGCCTAGATGTCCATCAACAGATGAATGGATAGAGAAGATGTATATGTACACAATGGAATACTATAGAGCCATCAAAAATGAAATCTTGCCATTTGCAACAACGTGGATGGAACTAGAGGGTATTAGGCTAAGTGAAATAAGTCAATCAGAGAAAGACAATTATCACATCTCCATATCACTCATATCACCACAGATATGTGGAATTTAAGAAACAAGGCAGAGGATCATAGGGGACAAGAGGAAAAAAATGAAATAAGATGAAACCAGAGAGGGAGATAAATCATGAGAGACTCTTAATCACAGGATACAAACTGAGGGTTGCTGGAGTGGAGAGGGGTGGAGGGATGGGGTAACTGGGTGATGGACACTGGGGAGGGTATGTGTTGTAATGAGCACTGGGTATTATATAAGAGTGATGAGTAACAGACTTGTGCCTCCAAAACAAATAATACATTATATGTTAATTAATTGAAATGAAATTAAAAAGGTGGGGGGGAAAGACGTCCTACTCTTACTAAGCATGGATCCTTAGAACCAGCCACGCTTTCTCAGTATATCTTGTGTATTTCTTCTTCACTGACATTTCTTTCATGTTTTCTCATACAATTTCCCATTTCTTTCTACATTTTGCATTGGATCAATTGAAAGCTTAGCTTAAGTCCAACTTCTTCTCATTAAAGCATTCTCAACACCAATTTATTTTTTCTCTTTGATTTCCTACACCACTCAATGCCTACACCATGGGACACTTGCTACCAACTGTTCTACATTGCGGGTTCTCCCCTTACACCCCCAGATTATACCTACTTAAGTCATTAAGTTCTATGGCAGTGGGGATTCTTTTAAGTTTTGGTTTCTTGACAGTACTTACCATTGCTCCTTGTATGTAGAAAAACCTTGGGTCAATTAAACATCTGACCTTTCAGGTTAGGTACCAGATTAGGTACCTAATCTTTCAGGTTAGGTACCAGATTCTGAACTGGGGCACAAAATTCCTAATTCTGTTCTCGGTAATGATGGAAACAAAGATCTCAAAAGATCATTCTTAGAAAGACTAGCCCCTCCAGAAATAGACATGGCTGGAATTCCTTTTGTTAATAAGCTTGCCAGGTCAAGTTTCTTACTTATTAATGTAATTTAAGGTTGCCATCTTTATTAGGTGATGACCAGACATTTCATTTGCTCCCAAATATCAGTGGCTTGAATATTTAAAAATTATATCTTATGTCTGCCTAAGTGGTTCACATTTTTCTGATTTCTATCTTTATTTCTTATTTTCCACCATCTCCCCTCCCTCTGCCACAGCTTTCTTGTGGTCCTGTCTGGCCTATCAATACTAGAACATCTCATCAGTTCCCAGTAAGCAAATGGTGGCAGATCAAAACTATTAGTAATTTCTCTGAGTATTAATTTATTCTTTAAAAATAATTTTGGATTTTAATTATATCATAAAATTAAACTTCCTTCTTGTTTTCATATATTTAATCAAAGAGATGACTTTATCATGTTATGCTATATATTTTGGTATTGACAAATGGAGATCATTTTTATTAAACGAATTGTTTTAATAAAAACAGAGAAGTGTAATAATGAAAAATGAAATGCCATACCTGGGTCCACTCATTTGTCTGGGGATCATAAGCCTCCACTGTATTAAGATATGTCTGTCCATCATACCCTCCAACAGCATATAATTTATCACCAAGTAAACAGACTCCCACTGCATCTCTGCTGATGCTCATAGATGCCACTGCAGTCCACATATCGGTTTTGGGATCATATCTGAAAGAAAATTTTAGAACTGGAGCTGACATTGTTCTCACAATATTTTTTAAAAAGATTTTATTTATTTATTTGATAAAGAGACACAGTGAGAGGGGGAAAACAAGCAGAGGGAGTGGGAGAGGGAGAAGCAGTCTCCCTGCTGAGCAGGGAGCTCGATGTGGGGCTCGATCCCAGGACCCTGGGATCATGACCTGAGCGGAAGGCAGATGCCCAATGACTAAGCCACCCAGGCACCCCATTCTCACAATATTTTTATGTAAAAACAGTTTATGGATGAAAGACTAGCATGTTGGACCTGATACCATAGACCTTCTAGAAGAAAACATAGGAGGTAAGCTCCTTGACACTGGTCTTGGCAATGATTTTTTTGGATTTGACATCAAAAAGCAAAGGCAACAAAGGTAAAAATAAACAATGGGACCACATCAAACTAAAAACTTCTGCATAGTAAAGGAAACCATCAACAAAATGAAAAGGCCACCTATGGAATGGGAAAAATGTTTCCAAATCATGTATCTGATAAGGGGTTAATATCTAGGAGATATAAAGAATGTAAAAAAAAAAAACAAAACCCCAACAAATAAACCACTTAAAAATGGGCAGAGGGTCTCAATAGACATTTTCTAAAGAAGACATATAGATGGCTAATAGGTACACAAAAAGGTGCTTAACGTCACTAATCATCAGGGAAATGTAAATCAAAACCACAATGCCTGCTGAAAAGATAATAACAAGTGTTGGTGAGGATATGGAGAAAAGGGAACCCTTGTGTACTGTTGGTGGGAATGTGAATTAGTGCCACTCCTACAGAAAACTATATGGAGATTCCCCCCAAAAATTAATAAGGGAACTACCATATGATCTAGTAATTCTACTTCTGGGTATTTATCCAAAGGAAATAAGAACACTAATTTGAAAAGACATATGTACCGCCCATGTTCACTGCAGCATTATGTACAGTAGCCAAGGCATGGAAACAACCTAAGTGTTCATCAATAGCTGACCGGATAAAGAAAATGTGGTACATGTAGACTACATACATATGCATGCACACACTGAACATTATTTGGCCATAAAAAGAAATGAAATCTTGCCATTTCAACAACATGGATGGACCTTGCAGGCATGATGCCAAGTGAAATAAGCCAGAGAAAACAAAAACTATGGTCTCACTTATATGTCGATTCTAAAACAGAACAAAAACTAAGTTCATCGATTGGTGGTTGCCAGAGGTGGGGCATGGAGGGGGTGGGTCAAATGGAGGAAGAGGGTCGAAAGGGACAAATTTCTAGTTATAAAATACATGAATTATGGGGATGTCACGTACAGCATGGCGATGTAGTTAATGATACTGTACTATATATTTGGAAGTTGCTAAGAGAGTAGATCTTTAAGGTTCTCATCACAAGAAAAAAATTATAACTATATATGATGATGGATGTTAACTAGACTTACTGTGATCATTTCTCAATGTATACAAATGTCAAATCATTATGTTATATATCTGAGACTAATAAAATGTTGTATGTCAATTATACCTCAATAAAAGAATATCAACACATCCAGAAACACCTGGGAGAGGTGTATAGCAAAGTGGTTAGAGAATGGGCTTTGGATTTGGGCTGAAGAATCTCGAGTCCTTATCTTTCCAATCACTGGTTCTATGGTATTGTAAAGTTACTTAAAATCTTTACATCTTAGTCTCTTTATTGGTGAAAATATTGCTCACCAGGTAGCATTGAGGGTTAAATGAAAATGCACAGTAAGCATTTGATAAATGTTACCTTAAAGATGAGTCAGTTCATTTGTTACAATTTTTTCCTATTAGCGAGGAATACATTCTTGTAACAAAAATTCAAAATTACAAAAATATATAAAATATGCAATAACTAGCCTCATTTCCTTCCAGCTTTAATTACAGAGTCAAGTGGTAAGCCCTATTAACAGTTTGGTTTGTATTTGATCTTAAAAATATTTCACTTTTTATTCTTAGGGCTTGAGATGCCTATTTCAGAACATGCTTTTTATTCAATTTAATTTTTCTTTCCATGTAAAATGTTAACATTTTTTTTCTTTCCAGAAAATAAAAGTAGTTTAGTTCTTTAAGCCTACCCTTATCTTATCACTGCTATTTAAAGTACATTTGAACATATTTTAGAAAAAAAATCAATATTTTCCTGAAAACTTTTAATTTACAATATTACAGATTCATTTGGCAAATCCATAACACTTAATGATCCAAAAGAGCTAAAGTAAATACTGAAAACTGCTGTAAGATTTTCGATTATCTACTGAAAATGTGAGGAAATCAATACATGAAGGGCTAGGTGAGATGGCTGACAGACACAATCATGAAAGCTGTCCACTTTTGAACCTTCTTGTTCTTTTCATGAAATATATTAATTAGAACAGCCCAGAGTTGTCTAAGAGCAGATACATCATGCTAAAATGCTAATACCTCTTGCACAATGAACAATTTTTCACTGGGTGCAGTACTGCAGTGAGCCTATAACTTATGGGGTAAAGTATACAAAGACTTCCATATTCCTTTCCTGGAGTGTAACACACAGGAAGCGTAGTCTGAATCACTTTCTCCCTAACACAGGGCAAAAGACTTTCCTGCTTTCTCAAAAGACAACAAACCAATCCTTATTATTTCACAGAAAGCACTCATTGTCATCAAGCCCGCATTTAACTTTTTAACTTTCTTCCAATCATGTATGATTAAATAACACACACACACACACACACACACACACACACATACACACACACACTTACTTATCAACTTCCCATTGCTCTTTAAAATCCAGAATCCTTAAGATTCTATGTGATCTGCCGCCGTCTCCACCCTAGTCTGCCTCCTTTCCTGCCACTGTCTCCCTCCCTCTCTTTTCCCCCAGACAGAGTGGCCTCCTTTCAGTTTTCTGAATGAACCGTATCCCCTTCTCCTTTGGAATGTTCATACATGCTCCATGGACTCTACCTCCTAAATCCACTCAATCCTCTCCATTCCTTGAACCAGACTAAAAATAACAGATGGAAGCCTGAACTGTTGTCCAAATCGTCCACTGATGTAATTAGGTTCTTTACCTGGCCCTATACATGAGTTTCATGAGGCCAGTTTGGACGACTTGTGTAACTTTTAAGCCATATTAGTTTTTTTAAAATTTTATTATTTCATAGTATTTCCTTATATCAAAATGTGTTAGAAAGGCTCCTCTCCTTTTCACTTCTTCCTTAGCCCCCAGTCCCTACTACTTCTCTCTGAAATTCATCAAGCTCTTTTCCTTTTCTTGTCAGGTAGAGTATCCAATATGAAATATGTACACAATAAGTGTCATATGACTCAATTAATAAATTACATAATCAATTCTAAGGTAAATCTTAAGTAGGCAGTAATATGGGGAGAGAAGAATCCAAGAAAAGCTGTTAGGAAAGAGACCAGGAGACAGCCAGAGCAGACGACCCAGTGTTCACAAAGCTGGGAAGAAACTGCCTTGCATGCGCTGGATGTTCAATAAGGAGTCAATGATTTGTCTGGAAGTGTCAGACAAAGTTTTCCTTCACAGGAAATTACCTCTCCACACAGTCTGAGAGTCTGGAAGTCAAGTTGGATGCAGGGGCATCGTGTCCTCCAATCGCATACAGCAATCCATTCCAGGTAGTTACTCCTACTCCCCCTCTCCTTTTTGACATTTGTGCACAGAGTGTCCATTTATTAGTGTGAGGATCAAAACATTCTACTGATTTGAGGCAAGAACTTCCATCACGACCACCAACTGCATAAAGTCTGTAAGAACAAATAGAATAATAAAAAAGAGTGCCATCATTATGATGAAGGCAAAGAGATTATTCTTACGGTATTTCATTGAAATTACGGTGCCATAGATTTTAAGACACACTCTCAGTTTATGTGCCATCAAGCAAGAAGATATGCTACCAATTATATGACATATGTATATGTCATATGTAAATTACATATATGTATATATCATATGTAAATGTGTGTACGTATATATACCAGCTATTACTCTGTATATACATAAAAAAAAAAGAACAAACTCACCTGAAAGCAATGACAATTATTTCTGATAAGTCACCACGGATTATAAGACACATCACAATTTTAGAGGCATAAGATGTGTCTTAGAATAGATACAATGCAGTATATAAATATACCATGACTTCTTTCTTAAATAGCTAAGACAGGACTACATTATAAAGGAAAGAAATGAACCTTCTCTGCCCCTACCACAGGCCAGATATTTTACCTGTATTAACTTAATCATCTCAATAATGCTACGGGAAACCATTTATATTCCTGTTTCATGGGTGAAGAAACAGGCTCATGGAGATTAAGAGGCTTATACAGGGTCAGAAGCAGAACCAGGACACAGTTAGAGTAATGAGCAGCTGTACTGTGAGCAGTCACCTGGGATGTTCTTGCAGCAGTGAAATAGGAGAATAAAAGGATTGCTTGAAACAGTGGCGTATAAATTAATATTTATTACATACGAACCGTGATCCTCCACTAATTTAAATTACTGCAGAGAAGGATACTGTAAGTTACCTAAAATGAATACGGTATGTTAATGTCCTAAATGTTGCCCAGCAGGTGAATTTTAATTCATTACCCGTCAATATACTGCATTGATCTTAAAGTCTTTTACTCTGACCTTAAAATATATATAAAATATATTTTTATAATAGTTTTTTTAAGAGTAATAAATTCAGATCATTGCTTATATAAAAGTTCCCACATTTTGAATTTACAGATGCCTTAGTTAATATTTAACTAATTTTTTAGCTCAGGAAATAATATTTGAGCTATGCCAAAAATCTGCCAATTAAAACTTTTTGTTATTTTAACTTATTTTATAATGCTTCCTAATGCAAAATGTAATTCTTTAGAGAAGAACTGTTTGAATGTTTTATGAGTTACATCTTGTATCTTGAAAATTTATTTATATTTATATTTTTAATTTATATTTATATTTTATTTGTATTTATATTTGGGTAAATATATATATTTTAAAGACATTTATTCATTTTAATTCATAATGTAAAGTTCACTCTACCACTCAAAGTGGTTCTTTAGTGAGAAGATGACCATATCTTAGACAGCAACATATGGGTGTGGCAATATCTTGTTTTAAACTTTGTATTAATAGTATGGAAACTGAAATTCATTTGAAACTTTGTTAAAATTTTTATCTGTCAAAAACTACTTTCTCGTGTTATTGTTCTTAAACTGTTCTCATTTTTAACTAATACTTGGTAGAATAATTGTTTGAATATGGATCACAGACTATCAGGAGACATCAAGAATTAGAAAACACCCATAATTTTAAAAACACGTACACGCATGCGTGCGTTATGTATGCATGCATGAGTGCGCACACACAAATTCAAGGCACTGTCCCCTCTTCAGAGTGAACTCATGGGTCTTGACTGTGAAAAGTGGTGCAGTACAGGGATTAAGAGGTGAACTCTGGAGCTGGGCTCTGGATTTGAAATGTGGTTCTCACACTTACGAGCTCTGACTGTGGACGAGTTATTTAACCTTCACCTGCCTGAATATCATCATTCAAAACATCTCTAAGCCCTGCCTCGTAGGATTATTGATGACCAAATGTAAAATACATTGAATAGTGCCTTACACAGGGTAAACATGGTCTAAGTGTTTCGGGGGAAAGAATGAATTCTGTCTCTATTTTTTCTGGGGAAAAATGAATTCTGTCTCTATATTCTTCTAGAAAATGTCATTTTTAGGTCTTAAGCGTACAAACAACATTTACACTGAGCTAATGTTAAGGCCTAACATGTACCAATAACACTTCCTAAAGAAACATTATCTCAAGCAATGGTTTTCAAATTGTTTTCTAAAAACAGGATTCTGTGGAGTACTTGAGGAGGTCCCCAAAATGGTGCATTTGAAATTCAAGTTTTGTTTTTAGAGAGAGAGTGTGTGCATGTGCGTGTGCTCTCCTGTGCAAGTGGGGTGGCGGAGCGGGGGGGCAGGCAGAGGGAGAGAGAGAATCTCGAGCAGGCTCTACGCCCAGTGTGAGTCCCATGCAGGGCCCCCACCCACCACCCTGAGGCCACAACTCAAACAGAAATCAAGAGGCCAAAACCCAACTGACTGAGCCATCCAGGTGACACTGAAATCCAAGTTTTAATAATTTTCAAAATATCTGGCTCAATTAAATGCCATACAAGGTTCAGAACTCATCTCTTTCCCCCATGACAGCAGCTATTACAAATAAAAAGAGAAACATTATGTCAAATTGTGATTGTGTCAAATTGCATTGCACTATAGACTTTAAAATAAGACTTCCTCATGCCTGACATTTAAAATTATGGTCAAGAATGCAAGGGATTGGTGGATATTGAGATTTAATTTAGGAATAAAAAATTTCTAATACTCTCAAACTACATCAACAATTTAACTGAAAAGTTTCCTGAGAGTTCAATTAAATTGCTCTAGTAGTTAAAATAACTGTTATCTTCTCAGCTACTTATTTGTGAATCAGGATTTTTCTTTATACTGAACAACAAATACAAAACATAGAAATAATCCGGTGTTCTTTAAAACAGACTTGTTCTTCTATATCGATTTTTTATAATAAATACATGCTACAAACTTGAGCTTAAATTTAAGATAAGTCTGTAATAATCTTGAGTTTCCATTTGTCTTAAGTATCAGGGTTTTTGTAAGGTTGTATTTGAGAGAGAGATTCTACTGTGAAAAATACTTGCCAGCCAGGGCCTTAAAAGTAGCCCAAGCAATTGGAATTCTAAATAAAGTTTCTCTCAAACATGGTAGAAAGAAAAATTGTAACACTTTGAAATTTTCAAGATACAAGATGTAACTCATAAAACATTCAAACAGTTCTTCTCTAAAGAAACAATTATATTTTGCATTAGGAAGCATTATAAAATAAGTTAAAATAACAAAAACAATAGTTAATCTAGGCTTTTCATTTTATAGATTAAAAAACTGAGGCACAGGGAAATGATTTATTCTAAATCATAAAGGAGTAGTAGAGAAAAGATGCATAGTTACTTTTTTTTTCAATCAACTGTATACTTTAAAAAAACATGATTTCTATTTTTTCATATTCTGGATATGTACCTCAAAATGGAAACAAACAAAATATTTTAAAATATTGCTACTTTGTTTTAAAGCACACTTAGAGGGGTGCCTGGGTGGCTCAGTCAGTTAAGCATCTGCCATTGGCTCAGGTCATGATCCTGGGGTCCTGGGATTGAGTCCTGTGTTTGGGCTCCCTGCTCCCCAGGGAGCCTACTTCTCCCTCTGCCTGCTGCTCCCTCTGCTTGTGCTCTCTCCCTCTCTCACGGACAAATAAATAAATCTTTAAAAATAAATAAATAAAGCAAGCTTAGAAAAGTGCTAGTTGACAGGTTAACACATTCTCTTGTTGGGGGTGATTACAAGCACCACCGCATCTAAGTGGTACTGGAACATTCTTCAGTAAGACTGTACACTTCAGGTTATGTTCCAGGTACCATACCATGTGTAAGAATGAAAAGACCAGGTCACTCAAGACCCTGATCTACATGGACTAGGAAATAGCAACAACAATAGAGTGGTTCTTGTTTTAACATAATCATATACAAATTATGCACAGTGAAAATGTTGAGGGTGGAAGGGACAGTTAGTGTAGGGGGGGTTGAGGAGATGGGAATGGAAATGGGAAAGTGTTCCAGAGACTTCTGAGTGAGTTTCAAGGATGCTGAATTTTCCAGGCACCAAAGTGGGGAAATAACACTCAAAGACAGAGGCAATGAGTTAAAACATTATGGGAGTGTGAAACAAAATGTATTTTCCACAAATAGGTTAGGTTTTTAAAATAAAACATTTTATTCATTTATTTGAGAGAGAGAGAGCACATGAGCAGGGGGAGAGGGAGGGGGAGAGGGAAAAACAGACTTCCGGCTGAGCAGGGAGCCCAACGTGGGGCTCGATCCCAGCTCGCTGGGATCAAGACCTGTGGTGAAAGCAGACACTTAACGGACTGAGCCACCCAGTCATCCCGCAAATAGGCTAGTTCTGTTGGATTGTAATATGCACAGGGGAGTGGAGGGGAGGAGGGGGGGAGCGGAGAGATGTGGACAGAGGTGAGACCATAAAGAAGGCTTAGTCCTGTAAGCTCTTGAAATTTCAAAATCAATGTCTTAATAGTTAGTAGATAAGAGATCTTCAGCTTCTGATCGATTCTTTGATGGTCTCAGTGTTAATATCGAATAAATTGTACCTTAGATGAACTAAAGACTGAAATATTTATTTCTCATAAGAGAGCAAGAGAAAGTGAGAAAGTAAATTATTTCCATGCCTCAAAGTTAAAGCTGCTGTAGGTCTAGAAATTAGATTTTACAGAAGGCAGCTATCCTTTTTGTGCTCTTAGAAACATTTATTTCTAGGCTAGGAAATATGCCAGTGAACAAGAATTAGATCAATGAACTACTCCCAGAAATTTTAACTGAAGGGTGAAAACAGAAAAGATACGTTTCGTTTTCTCTCTTTTTTCTCATTACTAGATTCTTTGGTGGCTGACTCTGCTACCAAAGAATGAAGAAGGATAGGTAGTGATAAATTTTGAAGTTCTTTCTTCAGTTAAAACACATGGAGGGAGGGGTGTGGAGATCAGGTACATTTCAAAAAGTGGGTTTCTATTTCTCTATCTTATCACTTGTAATACTGCTAAAAACTAAGAAAACGTAGGACATAACTAGTAGGTCTGAGGAACCAAGACCTTAGGTCATAAAAAATTTTATAAATTTTCATAAAAATTTTACTAATATTTTCTCATTTTTTCTTTTACCAATCAATCAATATAATTCTACAAATAATTTTATTTTATTTTATTATTTTTTAAAGGATTTTATTTATTTATTCGACAGACAGAGATCACAAGTAGGCAGAGAGGCAGGCAGAGAGAGAGAGAAGGGGAAGCAGGCTCCCCGCTGAGCAGAGAGCCTGATGCCGGGCTCGATCCCAGGACCCTGGGATCATGACCTGAGCTGAAGGCAGAGGCTTTAACCCACTGAGCCACCCAGGTGCCCCAAATTCTACAAATAATTTTAAGTCTCTTTTAACTTTGATTCCTTCTCTTTTCTGTAAATGATGATAAAGCCTTTTGAGTGAGTAAAGGTATGCAACCAACAACATTTATTTAATAACCATATAGGGCTTCATTTTATGGGAGAAAGGCCTTTGATATGTGTTTAAACTCTGAGTTACCAAGAGCTATTGGTGATGGTTCTGTCCAAATCTGTTAACTCCAGTTAGAGAAGACAAGAGCCAAGAGAGCACCTTTCTAAGTACATTTCAGTTTTCAGCAGTTTACCAAGATAAGAAAGAAGTAAAAGTAAAGATAAGTCAGTAGACGATATGGAAGGAATTATTTAGGAAAACACTTAGAGGGCATCTACTACATTTAAAACACTATATGCTTTTAAAGCTTTATAAACCTCCAGACTTGTACTCTATTGCATATTTATATAAAATTTCTCCATACAAAATAACTTGAAATTTATAATAATATATTATTATATATAGAATTATAAATATGTATATATATATAACCAGTATATTTTATATATATATATACATACATATATTTGTGTATATATATAAAATCGGTATATTAGAATGAAAACCTAACATGGTGAGTTATTTATATTTACAATTACAATAAAGAGACTATTTTAAAAGTTTGCATCGCTCTTAAAAGTTTTCCCCTTTCATAATTTTGTGTATTTTTTAATGTATATTTTTAACTTAGATGTATACCTCAATAAATTTGGCTTATTGTGCTTTAAAAGGAATTTTAAATATTTCCTTACTTTCCACTTAGTACTGCCACACCTACTGTGCTCCTGGGGGTGGACATAGTGGCAACAAAATTCCACTGGCGAGCCTGAGGGTCCCATCTTTCCACTGTGTTCAGATAGCTCCAGCCATCATGTCCGCCTACAGCATACATGGGACCTTCCAATACAGCCACACCTGGAAGGAGAAAGGAAAGAAACAATGACTTCAGGCGCACTTGGGTGGCTCAGTTGTTAGGCGTCTGCCTTTGGCTCAGGTCATGATCGCAGGGTCCTGGGATCAGCCCTACATCGGGCTTCCAGCAGGAAGCCTGCTTCTCCCTCTCCCACTCCCCCTGCTTGTGTTCCTTCTCTCACTCTCTTTCTGTCAAATAAATAAATAAAATCTTTAAAAAAAGAAAAAAGAAGCAATGACTTCAGATTTGCTGCTATGTCTTAAAGATCACATTTTAATTGAAATCTCAATATACAGTTTACCACCTACGTTTTTATCTATGGTTTTCTGGTTCCAGGTCTTATGTTCAATACTTTAACCCATTTTGAGTTTATTTTTGTGTCTGCTGTAGGATAAAAGTCCACTTTCATTCTTTTGCCTGCGACTGTCCAGTTTTCGCAGCACCATTTATTGAAGACAGTCCTTTCCCCATTATATGTTCCTGGCTCCTCTTCTGTAAATTAGTTGACCACATATGCATGGGTTTATTTCTGGACTCTCTATTTTGTTCCATCCATCTATGTGTCTGTTTTTAAGTCAAATACCATAATGTGTTATGTAGTATAGTTTGAAATTAGGGAGTTTGATGCCTCCAGCCTTGTCCTTCTTTCTCAAGTTTGCTTTGCTATTTTTGTTTTGTTTTTATTTATTCATTTTTTTGTGGCCTCATTCAAATTTTAGGATTATTTGTTCTTTTTCTTTGAAAAATGTCACTGGAATTTTGACAGGGAATGTACTGAATCGGTAGATTGCTTTGGGTAGTACAATGAATCTTAAACATGCAAATTTAATTAAGAAAACATTTATGGTAAAGATACCTGGTTTCTTTCTAGCTCTTCTTGCTTGGTAGGTGTGGGGGGGGGGTGAGGGGGCTAAGTAGCTCTACAGCTCTGGTCTAATAAGTTTTAAAGGCAGTATCTTGAGGTCCAACAGTGGAAAGTTATTTAAAACCATACAATATGTACACATTGCCATAATAAAAAGCTTTTTCAGTAATTCAGATTTAAGGTATATTTGAGAAATCATTTTTATTCCTTTCACTCTAGTTAGACTTGATACCACAATCTATTGGTGTAATTCATCACCAGGGAACCAAGCCGGATTCATTTATTTCCTTATTCAACAAACATCTATTTAGTATTTATTAAGTGCCAAATGTTTAATAAAAGATAAGGGCTCTACCATCATGGGCCTAATATTTTAGTCAGGAAACAGGCAAAATATATTTCAGGTATTGATAAATGCTAATAAGAAAAATGGAACTGAGTAGAAGGGTAGGGAGGGTCAGGGGAGACCTCTTGGACAAACTGACATTTGGACAAAATGACATTTGAACAAAAATATGGATGAAATCAGACATGGAGATATCTGAGAGAAGAGAAGGTGAGGTAAAGGGGATAGTATGTACAAACCACACATATACACCCACGTATATAGTTCCAAATATATAAAAAATATACCCAATTATCTGTGTATATGTGCATGGAATTAATTAAAGAGCTGGAAGAAAAATTAATGGGTGCATCTAGTTCAACTTCTTAAACAATATCTCTGAAAATAAATTTTAGCAGTAGAACCACATCTTCAAAATGAAATCTATTTAATTGTGGAATCTTTATTTAATTATTTAAAATTTATTTAATTCTCACATTTTTAAAAGAGATAAAAGGAGTGTTTCCTATGTAAGAGTTTCTTTTTTAACTTCCGTTAGGTTTTTAAGTTCAAATTTTAACATTGATTCATTATCTGGTAAATAAGTAAATAAGAATGACAGAACAATCTGGAAAAAAGAACTACATGATCATTCCCCTTTGAATCTGCTTCCATAAAGCATTTTGTATGGCAACTAGAAGTAATGACAGTATTCTATGTACAATCTGATCTGCACAAAACATAACAGGATTATGGACATTCTTATTCTACATACCATAAGAATTTACCTTAAGTTAAGATTAAATTTCTTTTCTCCACGGTGGGGGAAAGTATGCAGGTGAATCACACTATTGACCCTGGATTTTATGGTCAACCTGTTTTTAAGTCTCATTCATGCTGCTTTTAAGATATATTCCCATTCTGTGCCTAAGTAATAAGTTGACTTTACGGACTCAAGATTATTATCCTATAGTTTTGTTAGATCTCATATAGTTAATTTTAAGCTCCCCTTCTTAGTACTTTACCCCTAACCTTCTGGTTTTACTTCCTTACCAAGCTTGAAACAATGTCTTGAACTGAAACCTAATTGCAAATAGTAGAATCACTTGTTTCTCTGATTTTTTTGCTGTTCCCACTATCAGACCAATCTTCATGCCTAGATAATTTTCATTACTGGCTATTGACTTTTTTTGGCAGCTCTACTCTGGTGCTCAGCATTAATAAATTGAATGTAGTACAAGGCTATGCTATTGAAACCGAACTATGACTTCATTGCTACTCATCCATCTTTGAATTCATCTTTTATGATGACCTATCAAATTCTTTATTGCTACTAATTTAAACCTTTTCCAAATGGTGATACATTGACAATATGGCCACAAATTCTTCTCGCTGAATGCATGGCTGTTTTCAATGTGACTCTGCAGCTCCTCCCACCAAGAAGAGTTGTCCATCAATAGATGAATGGATAAAAAAGATGTAATATCTTTCACACACACACACACACACACACACACACACACACACACACACACGTATATTACATTGTAAAAATGATGAGATCATGCCATTTGAGACAACATGAATGGACCTAGAGGATATTATGCTAAGTAAAATAAGGCAGACTGAGAAAGACAAACGCCATATGATTCCGTTCATAGATGGCATCTAAGAAATGAATAAACACGGGTGCCTGGGTGGCTCAGTTGGTTAAGCGTCTGCCTTCAGCTCAGGTCATGATGCCAGGGTCCTGGGATCGAGCTCTGTGTTGGGCTCCCTGCTTGGCAGGGAGCCTGCTTCTCCCCCCTGCCTCCTGCTTGTGCTCTCTCACTCTCTCTCTATCTCAAATAAATAGAAATCTTTTAAAAAATGAAATAAAAATGAAAAAACAAATAAAGAACAGAATCAGAACTACAGATACAGAGAATAAACAGATGGTTACCAGAGGGGAGAGAGATGGAGGGCTGGACAAAATGAGTGGAGAGGGAGATACAGGCTTCTAGCTAATGAGTAGGTCATGGGAAGAAGAGGCAGAGCCTTGAATATATCAATGATAATGAAATAGGGATGTACAACGGGACAGATGGTAACTATACTTGTGGTAAATATAGCATAATGTATAAACTTGTCAAATCATTAAGATGTACACCTGAAACCAATGTAACATTGTGCATCAACTAGACTCAAATATACACATGAATATAAACATAAATACATATATATATATATATATATATATATATATATATATGTAAGAAGAATAATCTTTTTCTCTCCTCTTTGAACCTGGGCTTGCCCATGGGACTTGTTGTGACCAGTGCAACATTAGCAAACACGATGCAAGCAGAAGCTTGAAAAGTCTGTGCCCTGTGGCTTGCCTTCTCTTGCTGCTTTTGAAACCCTGTGACTGCCCCCATGTGAAGAAGCCTGCCTAGCCGGCTGAATGATGAGAGGCATGTGGCCCAAATGTCTCTGTTGCCCAGGCCAACAACCTGCCCACCACTACACATGTGAATGAGGCCATACGAGATCACCTAGCTGACCTGCCAGCCCCCTGGAGATCCATGAGAAAACCCAGCAGAAATCATCCAAGGCAGCCTGGACCAGAAGAATGGTTCAGCAGACCCACAGATCCTTGGGCCGAATGAATGGTGGTTGTTTTAAATCTCTGACTTTCAGAGTATTTGTTACGCAGCAAAAGCTAGGGTGAAACAGATACATGTCAAGCCCCATCTCATTCTATTTCCAGCTGCTTCACTCTCATCGAATAATTCTCTCTACTTCCCCTATTTTTTCCCCTATCAAAAAAGATAGGCCCTGTGATATAGGACCCTAAATTATCTTCTGTCATCTCAGAGTGAGACATCAGTTCCTTCAGATAAAGACAGTGTCTTCTTCGTCTTTGTAGACCCACAGAGCAAAGAGCACGGCTCAGAGTATATGCTAATCAATGTCAGTTCAGTGAATTATTGAATGAAAAATCTCTATCATTATATTCTCTGTGCCACCTCAGGATTTCTCTGGGTTTTTCCACTTCTGCTTAAAAACCAGGGGCTATCGATGAAAAACAATAATGCTAAAGATTTTTATTTTTATTTTTTTTTAAAAGATTTTATTTATTTATTTGACAGACAGAGATCACAAGTAGACAGAGAGGCAGGCAGAGAGAGAGAGGGAAGCAGGCTCCCTGCTGAGCAGAGAGCCCGATGCGGGACTCGATCCCAGGACCCTGAGATCATGACCCGAGCCGAAGGCAGCGGCCCAACCCACTGAGCCACCCAGGCACCCCCAATGCTAAAGATTTTTAAAGCAGCATTTCATTCAGGTTAGATTAACACTGATTGTCAACCCAGAACACATATTTAAAAAGGTGGCGTATCACTCCCTCATGCTACGATAAAATCTGAAATATCCATGTTTTTACTTATGCTGGTTGCTGTTACATTTATGTATATGCTTGTTTGTCCAGATGCTGCTTTCAGGTTAAGGAGCGTGTGAAGGAATGGTTGGTGACTGACTGCTCCTGACTCACCTGCTATCCAGTAGTCTTCTGACTGGTACAGAATGTAAACATGCTGTGGAAGCTTAATATATGGTATCATGAACAAACCTGTATAGTTATACTCACCAAGGCCATGCCTGTGGGTGGACATAGGAGGCATCACACTCCACGTTTTTGTTTTGGGATTGTAGCATTCTACAGTGTTCAAAGTCTTCAGTCCATCTCTTCCTCCAACCACGTACAGTTTGTCATCTAACACAGCGACACCAAACTGTAGCCTCCTCCCATTCATATTTGCTACAGGAGTCCACATATTTGTACGAAGATCATACTTCTCGATGCTTGTTGCTCCTTAACAGTAATACATAGAAGTTATGTAAATAAAAACTTTACTGTGTTTGAGTATTTTATGAATTTATACATATAAAAGTATAATTTTATTAGCACTGACAATAATCCTTTCATTATACTTCAGTGAGCTCCTGCATGGCCAGGCCCCTGGTTCTATCTCTGACATCATCTCCTACTATTCTCTAGGGCATACATAAGGCTCTATATTAAAAGGTCAAGTGAGAAAGGATTATTTGTAACAGACAGAAATGGGAGGAAAAGCAGGGTAGATTAGTGTCTTGGAAGCCAAAATAAAAAAAAATTTAGTAGGTAGCTTTAAAAAAGAAGATGGTGGCCGAGTCCCACAAATACAACTAGATAATTATAAAATCCTAAATCCCCCAGGAATGAATCTGAAGACTGGGTGAACAAACTCCACAATTAAAGGTAGGGAAGATGCCACACTGAAGATGTAGGAAGTTTAGAAACACAGCTTGGGAGAGAAACAGATCATGGCCAATGCGGTGAGGAGAGAACCATGGTCTCAGAGAAGGGTAGGAGACAAACTAGCACACAGGAGAGTGCATGGGGAAAATGAATTCTCTTAGCAATTGGCTTGGCAAGCTAGAGGGCCTGCATTTCATGAGTTCTTGCAACCAGTGGGGCTTAAAGTCTGGAGTTTTAAAAATCAGCATGCTTTGCTCTTGGAGAGCTTGGAGGACACTGCGGCTGCTCCTGAAGACGACTGTGGACACACAGCATGGAAACAGTAATCTGAAGAGCATCTAGGCACACAATGAGGAGGTTAGCTGCTATCAGAGCATGTCCCAGGGAGGCAGCATTCATGGAAACCCCTCTGGGAACAAAGGAACTGACAGGTATCGTTTCCTTCCTCCTGCTCCTCGGCACAAGCACAAGACCAGCTGTAGGAACCAGTGCAGTGCTAACACTCACCACCTACCTTGCTTACACCAAGCCCTGTTCCCCCAAACTCCAGTGGAACTGTCCTTCCCAGTCACACTTGCCTTAGTCCCAGGACAGCAGGCCCCTTTCCCAGAAGACCAGCCCAAACCCCTGCCAGATGAGGAGTTGTGTGAGGTCTCAGTTCCCGTGGTGGTGGTGGCAGGTCTCATTTCACAAGGAGACCAGAGTACACCTAGTTAAAAATGCACCACATTCAGGCCAGGGACCAAACACTGCCCACAACAAACAAAGACAGCCCCTGCAGACAACTGGTCTGAAGGATAAAGTGGTCAGGTCACAATAGCAGAGCACACACAGCACACACTGGAGACACTCCTGGAAGCACCAGGCCCGAGGGAATAGGGGACACTACACTGCAGGGCACCATAAGACCTCTTCTTCATAGAGTCATTACCCTCAAGTCATTACAGGAGATATAGCTGGTTTTTCTAACATAGAAAAACAGGGAGACTTAGACAAAACATAGAGACTTAAACAAAATGAGAAGACAGAGGAATATGACCCAAAAGAAAGAACAGGACAAGGCCACAGCTGGAGAATCTAAGCAAAACAGATATAAATAACATGCCTAATGGAGAATTTAAAGCAATGATCATAAGGATTCTCACTGGAAAGGATACTCTTGAAAAAGGTGTGGAGGACATCAGTGAGACTGAGAATAAACTTAAGGGAACACAGTAATTCCATCAAACATAATTAACATCTGTATTATAGAAGTCCCAGAAGAAGGGACAGAAAGGTGGCAGATAACTTATTTGAAGAAATAGTAGCTGAAAACCTCCCTAATCTGGGGAAAGAAACAGATATCCAGATCCAGAAACATAGAGACCCCCCAACAAAAGCAATCAAAGCAGATCCACACTAAAACATACTGTAATTAAAATGGCAGAATAGGGGCACCTGGGTGCTTAGTGGGTTGGGCATCTACTTTCAGCTCAGGTCATGACCCCAGGGTCCTGGGATCGAGCCCCACACTGGGTTCCCTGCTCTGTGGGGAGACTGCTTCTCCCTGCTTCTCCCTCTTCCTCTGCCTGCTGCTCCCCCTGTTTGTGCTCTGTCAAACACATACACAAAATCTTTAAAAAATGGCAAAACATAGTGATAAAGAAAAGATAATAAAAGTAGAAAGACAAAAAATGGTTACATACAAAGAAACACCATAAGGATAGCAGATTTTTTCAGTAGAAACTTACACCACCAGAAAGGAGTGGCATGACATATTCAAAGTGCCAAATGGGAAAAATCTGCAACCAACAATACTCTATCCAGCAAGGCTATCATACAGAATAGAAAGAGAGATAAAGAGTTTCCTAGACAAAAAAAAAACAACAAAAAACTAAAGGAGTTCATGACCACTAAACTCAGCCCTGTGAGAAGTCTTTAAAGGAGAGTATTTGGTAGAAAAGAATGACCAAAAGACAATATGAAGGTAGGAAACACAAAAGCGGGAAAAAGAATATTTCTGTAAAAAGTCAGTCAAGGAACTCACAAAATAAAAGGATGTAAAATGGGACACCATATACCTAAAATGTGGGGAGGAGAGAAGAAAAGAATGGGTTCAAACTTAAATGACCATTAGCTTAATACAGTCTGCTGTATCCAGAAGAGGTTATATACAAACCTAATGGTAACCAAAACAAAACAAATCAAAACAAAAAACATGAATAAATATGCAAAAAATAAAGAGAAAGAAATCCAAATATATCACTAAAGAAAACCAGTAAATCATGAAAGAGAAAAAGACAAGAAGTATTCATAGAAAATCTTTAGAAACGATCATTAAACAAGTATTAAAATAGCAGTAAATACATATCTATCAATTATTACTTTGAATGTGAATGGACTAAATCAAAAGACAATCAAAAGACATAGTATGACAGAATGGATAAAAAAAAATAGATCCATCTGTATGCTGCCTACAAGAGACTCACTTTTGACCTAAAGACACCTGCAGATTAAAAGTGAGGGGATGGGGAAACATTTATGATGCAAATGGATGTCTAATAAAGCTGGAGCAGCAATACTTATATCAGAAAAAAACAGACTTTAAAACAAAGATTATAAGAAGAGACAAAGAACAGCACTATATAACAACAAAGGGGACAATCCAACAAAAAAATATAACAGTTGTAAATATTTATGCACACAACTTGGGAGTACCTAAATACATCAAACAATTAATAACAAACATAAAAGACCTAATTGATAATAATACAATAACAGAGGGAACTTTAATACCTCACTTACATCAATGGACAGATCATCTGAACAGAAAATGAACAAGGAAACAATGACTTTGGATGACATACTGGACTAAATGGATTTAACAGTTATACTCGGAATATTTCATCCTAAAACAATAGAATATATATTCTTTTCAAGTGCACATGGAACAGTCTCCAGAATAGATCACATGTTAGGCCATAAAACAAGTCTCAAAAATTTAAAAAGATTGAAGTCATACCATAAATCTTTTCTGACCACAATACTTTGAAACTAGAAGTCAATCACAAGAGAAAAAATCTGGAAAGACCACAAATACATGGAGGTTAAATAACATGTTAACTAAACAATGAATGGGTCAACTAAGAAATAAAAGAAGAAATTTTAAAAACGTGGAAACAAACGAAAATGAAAACACAATGATTTAAAACTCTGGAACACAGCAAAAGTGATTCTAAGAGGGTAGTGTAGAGCAATGTAAGCCTATAAGAAAAATCTCGAATAAACACCTAACCTTACACTGAAAGAAGCTAGAAAAAGAACAACAAAGAAAACCTAAAATCAGCAGAAGGAAGGAAATAATAAAGATTAGTGCAGAAATAAATGATATAGAAACTAAAAAAAAAAAAAAAAAGAAGAAGAAGAATAGATCAATAAAACCAGGAGCTTGTTCTTTGGAGAAAAACAAAATAAAATTGACAACTCTCTAGCTAGACTTAACAAATAGAAAAGAGAGAGGACCCAAATAAGTAAAGTCACAAATAAGAATGTTGAAATAGCCACCAACACCACAGAAATACAAGCAATTATAAGAGAATATTATGAAAAACTATATAGGAAAAAAATTGGACAACCTAGAAGAAATGGATAAATTCCTAGAAACATATAAACCACCAAAACTGTAACAGGAAGAAATAGAAAATTTGAACAGACTGATAACCAGCAGAGAAACTGAATCAGCAAAGAACTCCTAACAAATGAAAGTTCTGGACCAGATGGCTTCATGGGAGAATTCTACCAAACATTTAAAGCAGAGTTAATACCTATTTTCTCAAACTATTCAAAGAAATAGAAAAACAAGGAAAACTTCCAAATCTATTCTATGAGGCTAGCATTCTCCTGATACCAAAAGCAGATAAAAGCCACCACCAACACACATACACAAAAAATCATCAATATCCCTGATGAAGATAGATGCAAAAATTCTCAACAAAATACTAGCAAATTGAATCCAACAATACATTAAAAAAAATCATTCACCATGTTCAAGTGTGATCTATTCCTGGGTTGTAAGGGCAGTTCAATAGTCTCAGATCAACCAACATGATATACTGCATCAGTAAGAGAAAGAATAAGAACAATTTGCTCATTTCTTTTTTCTTTTCTTCTCTTTTCTTTTCTTTCCTTCCTTCCTTCCTTCCTTCCTTCCTTCCTTCCTTCCTTCCTTCCTTCTTTTTTAGAGAGAGAGAGATCATGTGCATGAGTGAGTAGGGGACGAGGGAGAGGGAGGGAGAGAATCTCAAGTAGGCTTCATGTGCAGAGTGCAGCCTGATGTACAGCTCAATGAGACCATGACCTGAGCCAAAATCAAGAGTCAGACACTTAACTGACTGAGCCACCCAGATGGCCCATGATCACTTCAACTGACATAGAGAATCGATTCCATTTACTATAGCACCAAGAACCATAAGATACCTGGAAATAAACCTAGCCAAAGAGGTAAAGGATCTGTACACAAGGAACTACAGAACTCATGAAAGAAACTGAAGAAGACTCAACTGACAGAGAAAAAGCATTTGACAAAGTACAACATT